CATGAAATATACGTCAAACTGCAAAATTTTCAAAGTTTCAGACCTTCAATGTACATTAATTTTCTTTTCAATTGTAAAAAATCAATATATTTTAAGGCACAATATACTTTATCAACCTATTTTGGCATGTTTTCTTTATGCAGTATTGTCATTTTTCGGCGATCCATTTCGACAAAACCAAGACGAATATGGAAACTGGGCAAAGTTCTTAGAAAGATACTTATCTAAAAAAAACTGGTTTGAAAATTTCAGCTAAATAGTATCAAGGAAAGCTCGATTGATTAATTTTGTAAATACCCATTGCAGAATCATATACAGATGTAACATCATCTCATTCATTAATAAAGTCCCCTTTAAAACATCAACTTTGAAAACTTACGAAATGATTTTATGAATAAATACCTTTGACACGATATATATAATACATGTAGGGTTATGTCTCGTGCTGAAGTTCGATTATGCTAAGTTTTATTACAAGAATAATATCAAATATGACCTTATTTTGTGCGAAAAACCACGTGAGTTTAAAAATTGCGTTGAGCTGTAGAGTATCGACATAAAATTTGAAGTAACCATTGTTAATTGACAATACGTCGTCGGTATACATGTATCTAATTGTCCAGTTGAAAGCCTCTTCAGTGTTTTTTTCTTTTCTCGTATAATATTTTAGACAAATTCTTCTTCATGTGAATACTAAAATCTTTGACCTAGCCAATCCTTGGGAATTTATTTTTCAAATGTCAAAAAATTAACAACAACCAAAAAAAAAATGGCGAAGAATTAATCGGCTTTTATATCTTCGAATGTGCATTTAGTAATCATATCTAATAGTTGATTCATATTGATCATCTTTACTTTTTTCAATTAACTTTTTATTCTTTTGTTTCTCGAAATTTTAAAGGACATGTATTCGGATATTTTGAAAGATAAAAAAAAAAGAGAATGAAATATACTATTAGATTCATGATCAAGCCATACGATTTTAAAAGCGATTTTTTTTTATCTTGTTAATTGGTTTGTTTACAATGAAGTTTTCATCTAACATTTATTTAAAAAAGATCTCTTTTAATATTAAATTTGCAGAAATATTTTTTGTTTATTTCTGTTTACTATATATACTTTGAGTTCTTGTACGTGAATCTAAAGAAAAAAGATTATACAAACTCTGAAAAACTCTCTGTCGATTGTGTTCCTTGTTTTAACAAAAACAGTTGTCAAATACTTTCAACAACCAATTTTAAACCCCTGTGATGTATGATTGAATTGTTGTTTATGCTGCAGTTGTAATCTTAAATGCCAGGTAAATCTATTCCATTCTGTGATAAAATAACAAAAATTTTTAACTTTAGATTTCTTCTTTCAACAAAATGAGATAAAATGCATAAACTTGCACAAATATGATAGGAATAGTCTATATGGTTTGCTCTTGTTTGTCGTCAACATTACCTTTGAAATAAAACAGCTTCATGGAAATCAAACACAACTTGAACCATCAAGTACTTATTGAAAGTTTAAATTGATGGGTAAATTTTAATCTTATTAAGCCATGAAAATCCTTGTCATAGCATAAATTACTAGTAACATGCACTACTAATTACATAGAAATTAATGGAATATTTACTCAATGAAACATATGGAGATAACGAACAGTATTCAAGATCAAAAATCCATAAAACAATACAAAATTGGAGCAGAGCAAACACGGACCTCCAAAACATCAGAGGTGGGATCAAGTGCCATGGAGGAGTGAGCATCCCCTGCTGACCGGTCACACCCGCCGTGTGCTCCTTGACATGATCGGGAAATAACGGAAAAATTCGTTGTCAGTTCAGTGTATAAATAAACAATAAGTATAAAAAAAAACTCAGCCAACATTTGACTTAATGATAAATTGCATTTGCTGACTATGTCATTGTATCGAACATAGAACTTTCGAAATGATGACTTTAAACGAGACTGTTGATGTTCTTGTTTCATCAACTTGTTTGTCAGTAATTAACCTCGTTTTAGAAATTGTTTCATGTGTAGAGCATGCTCTTGCGTATCGAATCAACTGAGATATATAAACTCCGTATACAGGTGATGAAGGCATATTGCTGCATTAGTAAGGGAAGTTGACGATAGAAAAATTAAAGTCATCACGTTTATCACAGAGCTTGTTGTTAGATTACCATTAACGTGTTTTTCAAGTAAAATATCCAAATAACTCATAAAACTTTCATTTAAACGCCGAGGTTTGGGTAACCACGACATGATCTCCGGTAGAAAGAGTTAACTTAGCAAATAAAATCTGATTAAAAATTTGAATGCTGACTAACGTTTTTTACAATAATTGCTTGGCCTCTATTTACGCACTGAATTGTCTATGTTTTACTGTTCTCATCGATCATGACAAGAAACATACAGGGGTAAGACCGGCCAATAAAGGATATTTACTCCTCCGTGGCTTCCGATCCCATCTCTGTTTTTATAGGTCCGTGTGTGCTCTGGTTTGTCTTTTTGGGTATGATTACAGCGCATTCTAACCCTTCATATTTGATAAGCAGTTGAACGCCCTCCTATTCTTCGAATAAAAATTATAATTTATTCAAAGATCACTTAATTCAGATTCTTATATTGGAACTACCAATATTCTTGTTCTCTTGATTTCGACCTTCGGAGTTTGAATTACATCTAAGAAACCTTAACCTTCACGATGAACTGCAAGGCAAGCAGCAGCATTAGTTTTTTTCACAAACACGTCTTGTATTTTGGTAACATCTGACCTTATGACTTTTAATATTCATATTTTATAAAGAGTAAAAGAATTCTGTCTTTTTGTGGCGTAGTAAATATTTTTCAAATTCATATTTTATAAGTTTACGATTTCAAGGCGTTTTTACAAAATAACACATATTGACGTTTTTAAAATTTATCTAAAACAAGATCAGCTCATAAAGCATGTAATCACTATTTGAACAGAAAACAGATACATTCCAAGAGGGATGTATAAAAATGTCTTTACCACACACGTTTGTATTTTGAATTATAAATAGATAATAGGGTGCAGCTGAATAAACATGCAAATCTTAACGCTCCACACAAACATTTCTTTTATTTCCTATATATTTCATCGCCCCGCAGTTGTAGACCAATAACCTGTTATTCTGATCAGAGAAGATGAATTGCCTGCTTAATGTATAAACTTGTTTTTCAACAAAAATCTTTCTTTTAATTACATAAAAAAAATTGCCAAAGTGGCATTACCTTCTAATTTGATTTAATGCAGGAGTATGTGCAATAAATTTTAATCCGATAGAAGACGTTTGTTTCTTCCAACAAACAACTGAATTTTTTCCCTCAGAATTTGCTAACGAATTTGTTTCTTGTCTTTTTCAATAACTATCAGATTCGTCTACAGATGCAAAAAAGGCACAATTAAAGTACTGTTTTCCGGAATCGCCAACATAATTCACTTTCGTTAAATTATGATCGTTAGTCATGAAAATTACTTCTTTTCTCCTCTTTTCTAACCGTTCGTTGACCTTTCACAAATAATAATTATATTAACTAGTCTGTGAAATGTCACTCTTTCAAACATATATATGTATTGTAAGTATCAAAACATTAATCAAGTAAACAGACAAATGATGCCAAAGAGCTGTAAACATGTTTACTACAATATATCTGATACCTTACAACTTTACTTAGATATATCTGATCCTAAGCTTATAACTTTAATAGCAAATGATTTTTTATTATAACAATTTTCTTCATATAACCCCTATCTTTTATTAGGTAGCTTTAGGGGGTTATAATTTTCTAGCTACGAAAAATATGTAAAAACAGAGCAAATTATAACATTGTAAAAAATGTTTAAAACTAGTAGAAATTAGCTTAATATATCTGATCCTTTATAACTTAACTTAGTTGTTTAAACATATCTGTAAAATATCCTAAGCTTATAACTTTACATAGCTTTATATAACAATGGATTTTTTACTGTATAACAATTTGCTTCATATAAACACCGTAATTTTTATTAAGTAGCTATAGGGGTTGAAAAATAATTTTCACACTAAAAGTCACAATCAGGCAAATTTAAAAAAATCACAAATGTAAATATAAAAAACATTTTTTGAGTTTTAGTGCCCATACATGTGATCAAATTATATAATCCTTGTAAAAAATTCTTAGAGAAATTCAACATCAATGTTAAGGGAATGTCGAATAACATTAAAAAATAACTAACGTTTCTTTGAAATTGGCATATATCATGTTCTTTTTTTTTGCAATGTCTGATATATTGATATTTTAAAAATTTGATTTTAATGTATTTTAATTCTTTTTTTTTTATTTTTATTCTTTTTATTAGGAAGATGAAATAATGAATGTCAATATAGAAATTACTAGTAATGATTTTGAAAAAATTGATATAATTTCATATCTGAATTATTTAGTTTCTTTCATTATGTGCACTTTTATAAATAAGTACTTTGTTTTTAACTTTTTCCAATATAAATGCACAATATAACAAATGTTATGTACATGAAATCCCTAAAATAAAGTTGTTTAACACATAAATCAGTGTATAATATATAATTGTTTATTTTCCATTTTTTGTAACCTCTGTTGATTCAAAGTAAAAACATGTATGTGTGAAATTTTATGTTATTAGCTGTTTAAAATTAACAATTAAACTTGTATATTATTTTTAATAACGTGTTAAGAATCAATATTGTTGAGTCCTTTGCCGCCGCAGTTTAGATAAGAAAGAATTGCCAGGTGATCGCAATGAGGCTGCATCGAAAACGATGCGCCTCAAAAATGATACCTTATTTCTTAATTAAATAACATTATATAGCTAGCATTGGAATATCCCTACTTTCAAACTGATATGTGCAGAATTGAAAATTTGTGGATTATTTTTTTACTATTTCTGCAGCTCTCTGCACTCTTTGCAGAAAAAAATGTGCACTTTGCCAAAACATCAGAAGAATGCAAAAAAAAATAAATCACTGTACATTTTTGCATTTTTATTGGATCATAAAATGCTCACTTTTACAGTGTAGTGTGCATAGAAGAAAATAAGCAAAATGAAACAAATAAACACACTGTGATACTACAGAAATGAAACTTTACCCATGTCATTTTTTAAGTGTATAAGGAAGATTATGGAAATCCATTCACATACTAGTAATTACTAGTAAAAAATCAACATGTAAAGCTGATCATTTAATGCCATATCTTATGAATGCAAACTGTAATTGTTGCTGCCATTTTTTGCCAATCATCTTGGCTCCTCTAGATGCTGAGGAATTGCTAGGTGGATAATGTTGAAAAAAAACTGCCTCTACATTCACGAGTAATTATGCCAGCCAAGTGCATATGGTATGTCTCAGTAATAGAATTAAAAATGATTTTGAATGACAAGTGTTCTTTGATATTACGTCTTCACTCCTTCGTTTTTGTGTGTCGGTAGAGCATAAGGGGCCCCCAGGAATTGGTCCGCTATACGTCCCGCCTCTCGGAGGCCACTGAGCAGGGCCCCGTGAACAGTGGCTGGGTAGTTCCTGATGGTGTGCTCCCCGGCGAAGAAGAGGCGAGGTAAACTGCCAGAGGAATTGGAAACAGGGGTGGCCATCAAGTCGTAGTCATTGCCTGTGAAATCAAAGTTGTCCAAAATTGATTATCACGTTCAAGGTTTTGCTTTGATGTAAATGTTATGCATAAAACGTCAATTACAATATCTAAAGTGACAGTCTTAAAAATAAAAATAAAAGCAATTTTTATAACCCTGGCAATGAGATTGAAAACATTTAGTTATTAATCTCAACACAATTTCTACAACAGATGAAACATAGACCATATTTAAGTCACGTAAGTGACACATACTGATCAGAGATACAAAAATAGGCCTCAATTAAAAGATTTGTTTTAGAGATATTTTTTTTTAAATTTAGTTTGATTTGTTGACTACTACATTGAACACTGTTGAAAAACCAACAAGTTTTCTCTCTCTTACATAATACATTAACCTAGGTTGAATGTTGTGAAACATGATGCTTCTAATGATTTGACTTCTGATGTTTGTTTCTTTTTTTGCCGAAAACATTCACCTTTTCTATGTAATGACCTCCATGAATATGACATGCCAAGTATAAAAAAATTAACAGAAAAAACAAAAGTGGAAATTTTTTATCCCTGCTTCATGTACTTTAAACTTTATGTGTTAATGTGAAAGTTAAACGTTTACTTATCCTAGATAGCTACCAAAAGTTTCTACAATAAAACTGCAATACCTTTCACAAAAAATTTTAAACACTTCATCATACCAGATTTTATCGTTGTTAAGTATGTAATTTTTATCTTAAATGTTGAATAAAAACTGATTCCATCTCTTAATTTGATAATGGAAAGGAAAATTCTTTATCAAAGATTTTCTCTATAAACAAAAGAGAAAAATGCCACAAAATTACATAATAACATAGAATTTGAGTCGGCTCTATGATTTTCTAGACTGATACCAATGCCATTTTATTTTTCAAATGAGGGAAAAATGTACTTTAATTAGAATCTAAAATGCACTCTTCACCCAAAAGTAATTATTCAAAACTTTTATCATGTTATCAAAAATTCACAGAATTTTTAACAGGACCTAAATTTAAGCACAATTTCTTCTCCACAATTGATCCTGCATGAGTTTTTATACATGTACATAGGAACTGACAATCAAAAATCTTGGGTGAAGATTACTGAAGATTTTTTTTTATGTCTATTCAAACTTTGATGTTACCTAAGATATTTCAGGTTACAAAGTGTGATGATTTAGGCCTCATATTTTCTTTTTAATTATAAATCACACATACAAAAACATACAGACAGATGGGCAGACAGAAAGATGGATGGTCATGAATGCCAAACCATATCAAATGTCAAAAAAAAGTGTCACATTATGACTTTTCTGTTTTTTGTAATGTCCTATAATACTGTAGATTGGCAAATAATCACGATGGTTTTAATTTCACTATGTTCACGATTTTTAATTTTTCAGTAAATTTAAACCCATCGTGAATGCTTTTATTAGTTTTAGAAACGTTTAAATGCTTATACGAAATTTTAATTATTTTTTTAACAGCATGAAATTAAAACCGTTGCGATTGGTAGTTTTTGAGAAATCGTGAAATTTTAACACCGTGGAATTAAAACAACTTACAGTATTATAGCAGGAATGTGACTATGTTTAATTCATAGTGGTTACTTTCCTGTTATATGAACTTGCAGTCAACATTAAAAGAATTACTGTGAATTAAGTCCATAATTTTTTAGGAGGTGGGGGGGGGGATTTATTATTATTTTTTAAGGGGAATGAAGAGAACCACAAATTCAAATCCAACAGGAAACATAAGCATTTTGTAATTCAATATAGAGATTCTTCTTAACCAAAAACGCAAAGTCCCTAAAACCAGAAATTTTTCTTAAACCTACAAAATCTGCTCCCTCAAATTAAGAAATTTGACAGTATTTCAGATTCCTATGTCTCCCTTGTACACCAAAGCTGAAACTACCTGAGGATCCGGCTGCCACAAAAGAGTAAGATCCACGAGCCCAGGGGTCTGCCCTCCAGCGGGTAACCAGGGTCTCTTTGGGCTACAAATAATGGAAATAATATAACAATGGAAAATGGAAATAATATAAACAACTGAAATAACTTGTAAGTGATTCATGATACAATTGATTGAAATATTCAATTTCCAATCAATTCATGATGCATGTATTGATATTTTATTGTGTTGAAAAAAAAAATTGCATATTGTCTAGAACTTTAAAAAAAGGTAAGATTCACGTATCAAAAAATTAATTCTTAAACCCCAGTCACATTTCCAAAAACGACAATCGGCCGACGGTTTTTGAAGCAAAAATGGGGTTCTTCGGGTGACAGTCGGCAGTTCATCGGCCGTTGTCTTGCCCGATTTTGACCTCTTTTTTTGTCGGCTGACCAATTTTGTGTCCATCTGTCCAAGTTATAATTTTTCTGCGTCAGTGGCCGATTTCCTCAATTGAAGTTATCCGTCAACCAACCTTCTTACATCGTCTGACCTTCGGCGGTCAGTTTATAAAATCGGTCGTCTGTCGTTGGACAATAAGGGTGTTTAAAATTTCGGCCGACGATTAAAATCAAACTGTAGCTCAGAGCTCGATGATCGGGTGACGATTGGCCGACTTGTGAATATTTAACCTATTAAGGATACATAAAACAAACAAAATTTTGATGCATGGATTGATATATATTTTTTGAACAGAAATAACATAATTAATCCGTAAGATGTAAAGAAATCTCAAGTATTCTTTGCTGCTTAGATATGCACCATTTGTAGTTTTTAAGCAATTCCATACGAAATTTTGCACACATTTTCAACATTGAGTCACAATTTTATAAGATTCTGCGACTTTGCCTTGCAAACATTACTCACGTCAACTATCTGAATATAGATCTATGAAAAAAAAAATTGCTGATTTCTAAATAACAAGATTTTGTGTGTTATTTATCCAAGTCATCGGTGTCCCTAGGAAATAATGTGACTGCTCCGTGTCACCCAATACTGTGTCGGCTGATCATGTTCTTTCAGCCGACAAGACCAGAAAAATTTAGTCGCCAGACCATCAGCTTAAATGTGACCTAGGCATAACTAACATAAATGCCCTTGGCTCAGAAGAGTTTCAATGTATTTGTGCATATATTTTTAACCAAACAAAAAGAACTTACCTGAGGAACTGCATTGTTTCCAAAAATACCCTTGAGAACCACCAGAGACCGCCCCACTATGACATCATCACTAACATTCTCCATAATGGCCGCCGCTTCCCCGGCAACCAGGGCCAGCAGAACTGGGGCCTTGTACAGATTCCAGAAAAGAAACAGTTCCCCCCTACTGGCTGTAGTGCTACCCACATGACCAAATAGGTTAGCATTAGGGTCCCAGAATACTCTGTCAAAGCACAGCACTACCTGTAAGAGAAATGTTTGAAAAGAAAACAAAGCCGAAAATTAGTGGAGAAAAATGTCTATTAATGATGATTTTTTTCTGCTAAAAGGAAATTTTTCATTTACACTTATATATATCTTTACTTCTTACAGTCACAATCATGTAAGTGAAAACTTCTTCAAACTGTCAGGGTGTGTGTGTGTGTAAGGGGGGAGGGGGCTAAGAATAATTATTGGAAAATAATATAAAAAGGTCTTGAAAATGCTCATCTCTTCTATTTCTAATCTATATGTTGCAATTTAAGTTATGCTTTTTTGGTAAAGTGCATCTTATTGACTGAATATCAAGGAATAAAATTCCTGAGCATGATCTTGAAAAAAAAAAAACTTGCTTTATTGAGGTTTCCAAATCCCATCCTCTGTATGGCTGAGGACTTCCACTCCGGTAACGGTGGATTGAACTGAACACAATTAAGGCCATTCCCCTTGATGCACTCTTTCAGCACCCCCAGGGGTAAGGTACACAGGACGGCGTCCGCCTTCAGGGTCTGCTGGTTGGAGTTATTTTTAGCGTTACTGACCACTAGCTCCACCCCCGTGGCTGTGTGATTACACTTCCTGACCGCGGTGTTGAGCTTGATGTCCAGACCCTCTGCTAAGGCCACTGGGACACAAGAGTAGCCATTTCGTACTGTTAAAAATTTCAACAGACATTATTTTTCTCATTCACATGGCTGTAATACTGTAGACATAATACATTTGGCTTGTATTCCTTTTAGCGCTTTTGATGGAAAGATACTTCGGCTAGTTCAAGTACATAGCTAAATGTCTTAAATATTGATACATGAATAAGAACATTAATCAAAGGCCTGAAGGGCCACAATGGCACCGCGCTTTAGATATGGCAGTGATACCGTGAAATAATTATATAGCTTAGTTGTACATGTATAATTATCTAGATGAAATACCCAGATTTCAGCATTTATGAAATAAAAGTATTCAACTCATATGGTCCAACTGAACAGCTTGAAAACAGGTTTTAATGTGTAGTCACTAGTCAGTACCCCGTTAAAAGACTATCAGGACCATACTTGATAACACCCAAGATGTAAAAATCTGGTCATTTGTGTACATGTATTGATAATTCTTCTATTTAAACAAGAGGCCCATGGGCCTTATAGGTCACCTGAGCATTATGCAACAACTTTCCAGTGACTGAATTTGATTCATGTTTAAAGCCAGATGCTATAGCATTCACAATTTTGAAAGAGGCACCATTGATCATTATAACAATACATTTAGCAGTTGCTTAGTTTGGTTACTTAATACCCAAAGGCAGGGTAGGGGAGCAAAAAATGCATGTCAACTAATCAGTAGTGCCCCTTTCACACATGAACCCCTGACCCTTAGGCCTAGATCCACATATTGCACAATTTTTAAAAAGGCATCCTTGCTTTTCAAAAATATTTGATTAATACCAAGGAGCAGATTTCAAACAATACATTCATTTTCACTATATAAATACACCCCCCCCCCTCCCCCCCCCCCCCGTCTATGGTACCCCTGACCCAGGGGCCTTGAAATTCACAATTCTGGAAGATTAGGACCCTTGCTCATTATAACTATATAGGTATGTTCACCTGCGTAATTCCTAGGAGTAGAAAGGAAAATTTTCAAAGAATTCATGTATTTTCACTATAATATCAATAGAGCCCCGCCCAAACACCAGAGACCCGACCCTGGGGCCATAAAATTCACAATTTTGGAAGAGGCATTCTTGTTCATCATTACTATATACTTAGTTAGTTTATTTAAAACCTGGGAGCAGAGAAAAAAAATTCAAAGAATCCATGTATTTTCATTATATAATCAATAGAGCCCCGCCTTAACACCAGAACCCCTGACCCTGGGGCCATAAAATTCACAATTTTAGTAGAGGCACTCTTGCTCATCATAACTATGCACTTACTTAGTTAACTTAATACCAAGGAGCAGAGAAGAAGATTTTCAAAGAATTCATGTATTTTCTCTATATAATCTATAGAGGCCCGCCCTAACACCAGAACCCCTGACCCTGGGGCCATAAAATTCACAACTTTGGTAGAGGCACCCTTGCTCATCATAACTATGCATTTAGTTTATTTATTTAATACCTAGGATCAGAGAAGAAGATTTTCAAAGAATTCATGTATTTTCACTATATAATCTATAGAGCCCCACCCTAACACCAGAACCCCTGACCCTGGGGCCATTAAATTCACAGTTTTGGTAGAGGCACTCTTGCTCATTATAACTATGCACTTAGTTGGTTTATTTAATACCCAGGAGCAGAGAAGAAGATTTTCAAAGAAATAATGCATTTTTACTATATACTTATTTAGCCCGGCCCTAGCACTAGAACCCTTGACCCCAGGGCCATGAATTTCACAATTTTGGTAGAGGACTCAATGCTGATTACAATCATGCTAACAGTTTGACTGCTTGATGTCCAGGAGTAAAGAAGAAGATTTTCAAAGATTGCACTAATTTTAGTGGTTTTGGCCCCACCCCTCAGGCCCCAGGGGGGCAGGGATCATGAAATTCACAATTTTTGTCCCCCTTCACCCATAGATGCTTTGTGCCAAATTTGGTTGAAATTGGTTCAGTGGTTGCAGAGAAGAAGCTGAAAATGTTCAAATGTTAACGGACGACGCACGACGCACAGACGCACGACGACGGACGAAAACAGATAGTAATAGGTCACCTGAGTTAAAAAAGGCTTTACTGAATTATTTACGTACAATGATGAAAAATTATTGATCAAATTGACATGTTAAATAAGAACATTGGTTTCATTGTCCAGCATTGACCTGAATTATGGTAAGTCTGCATTTTTTTAAAAAAAAGAAGCCTTTTTGGTATGTGCTAACAGGGACCTACATCATGTATATGCTAATATATTGTTTATATATAGGTCCCTGGTGCAATTTTAGAGGATTTGAAATTAAGTTTCCTCTCTCATAATTAGGCCTAATTAATTTAATTAACCAGTGTAATGTGTACTAAATGTACAGTAAGACCTACACTGTTTTCGATCACTTTATTTTACGTAATCAGGTAATGAAAGTTGTTTTCCAAGATTCCTTGACATGTATGTACATAAATATTGTTTCTCTTTCTCTTTGTTCAATTTGTTCCTGCTGGTCTTGATAACAATCTTGTTCTATCGGAAGCCATTTTAAATTTTGATTTGTCAAAACAATTCCAGTTAATTGTTTACACCTGCACTGATAATTTACTGGCCTACTGAACCACATAGCCATCGGCATTGTTTACGTAGATCAAGCTTGGGTTGTAACTGGAAGTTAAAAATACAACCTAATTTACGAACCAAATCCGGAAATCAGGGACTCGGGCGATAAGCATGACTCGCCGTGTCATAAAAAATAATCAGGTTAAGGGTTGAAAAGTAACCCGATGAAAGTGGGTGAGTTGTCAACTATGTATAGGACTGTTGAAATTGTATGATTTTCAAGCAATTTATGGAATAAACGCA